AAAGTGGAACAATAAAACCAACCAGTTTCAAATATATTGAATAGAGTATGGGCTGTTGGTTTAATCTCCAGGCTTGGTAATTAGGTTGCAGAAGTTTTGTCTCCATTCAGGGGGACATCTTCAGTGCAGTTTGAATTGTGTTCAGTTTGCTTGGAATGTTGCTTCCGGTATTTCAGCTGAAGCAGCTCTCTCGCTCTCAGTATTTGGCAGGCGGGGTCGATGTCAATGTGTCTGTTCACTGATTGATTGGTGGAGAAGCAGGCCTCGAAGAATTCTCTTTCTTTCCTTGACTTTGCTTGGGTTATAATTGTGGTCCTGGTTAGATCGAACTTGTGTCCTTCTGAGTCCTCGTGGACGGACATGAGGGACAATGGGTCATGTCTTTTGATAGCCAGGGAGTGCTCATGCAGTCTGGTAGATAGCTTTTTTCCTGTTTGGCCCACATACTTCTTTTCACAGTTGTTGCACTGGCCTTGGTATATGACGCCTGATCTTTGATTTGTTTCTGTTGGCTGTTTAGGTTTTAATAGAGTCTGTCTCAGACTTGCGGTTGGTTTGTGAGCTACTGTGAGGTCGTGTTGGCATAGCAGTCTTGCTGTCATCTCTGAAATGTTCTGTATGTAAGGAATTGTGATTCATTTGGTTGTTGCTGTTCCTGTTGTAGTCATTGTGTTGTTTTGGGCGTTTATGTTGTTTGTGTGTAGGGATCTCTGGATGAAGTTTCGTGGATATCCGTTCCTCTCAAAGACTCTGTATCAGTGTCTCTGTTCTGCTGATCTGGCTTCTGTAGTGTTGCAATGGGATTCTGCTCTTCTGAAAAGTGTTCTGACACAGCTTTGTTTGTGGCATTTGGGGTGGTTGCTGTGGAAGTTGAGGATTTAGTCTGTGTGTGTTATCTTTCTGTATACGGATGTTAGAAGTTGGCCATTGGTGGTTCTGTTTACAAGGACGCCCAGGAATGGCAGTTCATTGTTGTTCTCGGTTTCTATTGTGAATCGGATGTCTGTGAAGATGTTGTTGATTTTTTGGTAGATTTGGTCGATTTGGTTGCGCTTGATTATCATAAAGGTGTCATCCACGTAACGTATCCATAGCTTAGGGTTAGAGTTAGGGTTAAGGATGATGATGTTGCTGTCGGTTTTGGGGGACTTCATTGCCTGCAGTTCCTGTTTTGTAAAGATGCTGGAGTTTCATTTGTGTCTCAGAAGTGGAATGACTGTCTGGCATATTTGATGTTGGGTTTCTTCGCTGAGGTCTATTGAT